TTTGTCGACGGGGGAGGGGGGGGGGGGCATTCTGCTTTCCATAGATGTGCCGACCCTAGGTAGCCTTTTCTCGAGTTGACACGTTTTAGGATGGTGGCTAGACTATCTTGCACCAGCTTCACAAGGGTTCAGCAAGTTTTACATACTAAATAAAGGCAGCAAACTTTGTGTGTCGGGTTTTGTCGGTATGTAGGTATGTCGGTTTGTATGTCTGTCCGTCCGCAAAATGCTTTACGGGATTAAACACGTTAGTGAAAGAAGAAAACGACCGCTAGCCAAACCGGGAACCCATCGGTGCAGATGTATCAATCCAATGTTTTGATTGTGATAACAGCATATATAAGACAACCACTCGGTACACTCCGAGCCATTGCACGAGCTGCTGCCGTGGCAGCTGGACGTGTGCTCGTGCGGGGGCAAGCTGGGGGTGGGCCCAGGTCGCCCTGCCTCCTTCTCCTGCATGTGCTCAGCCGGAGCTGAGCACATGTATGGAGGGAGGCAGAGGGAAGGGTCGCGGGGAGGGGGGTACAGTGAGGGGTGCGTAGCGCGCGTTTCAGTAGAAACGCACACCAATGGATGAGGAAACAACCGCTAACAAAACTGTAAGCCAATCTATGTTACCGTAACGAACTAAGAAGTTGTTTTGGTTGTGATAACACTCTCCACTATATAAGAAAACCACTACACTCCGAGCCATTGCACGGGTTGCTCGCGTGGCAGCTGGACGTAAGCGCGTGCAAGGGGCAAGGTGGGAGGGGGGGGGGGGGGGGGTTGGTGGTGGGGGGGGGGTGGAGTGGCGAGTACGGAATGGGGTGAGGTGAGGAAGGTGGGAGTTAGTATCGAGTGACCCCCTTCTCCCATCCTCACTTCCTTGCGCGTACTCAGTCGGATCTGAGCCCATGCAGGGGAAGGAGGCATATGGATTGAATCGGGCAAACTGGGTACAGTAAGGGGATGCGTAGCGTACGCTTGGATAGGAGCAGGCGGCAAGACAGAAGGAAAGAACCCTAGCAAAACTGCAAGCTAATCCATGTTACAGCAACGAACTAGGAAGCTGTTTGGATTGTGAATAGCTCCCCTATCTAAGCCAACCACTGTGATAGACTCTGTGCTATTGCAGGAGCTGCTCGCTTGGGAGCTGGACGTGAGCACGAGCAAGGCGGTGGTAAGAACAGTGGCGGCGTAGTGTCCCTATGTTGCACCAGCTGCTCACGTGGCGGCTGCATCCACGTGCGGGAGTGGGCGCCAGTTAAATAGGGTCACTGGGATATGATGTGGTGAGGGGATACCAGATGAGAACGGCGATTTCGCGATTAGGAGCACATAGCGCCTTCGGCGGTAAGCGTCTACGGTTGCGATAAGATGGGAAGAAAATGGATCGACCGCAATCGGAAAGTGTTTGCATTATCAAATTGTGGAGAGTTGTTTGATAGTCATAACACCCTCCACAACATAACACAACCATTTAGTGCACTCAGAACCATTGCACGGGCTATTCGCGTAGCAGCTGAGCGTGACCTGTAGGGTGGCTGAGCGGGGAATAGCTGAGGTTAGTTTGGGGATAGGGGTGAAGGGGTACCATATTGGCGCGACCGACGCTCGCCTGAACAGGAGCACGCAGCGACTGCGGAGACCGAAGCATCCATGGCTGTCATAAGATGGGGAGGAGAGTAATCGATTATCCATGACCAGATTTTGAACTTTTCATTATGAAAGTGCCCTGCGATCATATGGCGCGTTTCTACATTCATTTGATTAGAAGACAGCGATTAGTCACGACTCTAAAGCAGTTGCATGAGCCAAGAAGGAGGAGAGCTCGGCGTTAGCCGGGCGATCCGACTGGTGGTCTAATACCAAAATGCCCGGCCCGTCGACAAACAGCGCCGAGGAGTTGTTTTCGACTTATTGTTATGGCGACTGTTGATTATCGCCTCAGTTTGGGATGCGAAGGATATCATAAAGAGTGCCGACTAGGGAGGCGATTTACCCATCATTTTTCCAATCTGGAGCTCGTGCTTGGCGATTGTGGAATTGAACAACCTGCATGTGAGCAATGATGTGAAATTAGTTGTTTTTCTGGTGGAAACCGCGAGGTAACTGTCGTTTGAATTTCGGTTGTAGTCTGTTGGCCTGAGTTGCAACTAGTTGAGGACGGTCCCGTGTTGAACACGACAGGTCATATTTCACGAATTTTGGTATGCTTCCAGGCCTTTAAAACGACCAGAGAGAGATTGTGAAAAACGTACGAAAATAACTGTAATGTTGGACATTTAAAACAAGACGCTCAGCAAGCGCAGTCAGCCACTGTGTGAGGGAACGATCTCCGGCAATGAACACTGATTGTATGTCCCTCTATAGACAGTAGAAAGGGACACTAAACCATGTAAGCGACGATAAAATGAGATGAGCGTAAAACAGCAACATACTTCGACCGATATTACAAAAGTGAGCCACACCTGTATGAGTTCCACTGCCGGGAATATGTTGGCGAGCCTATCACAACGAGTGTACCAATCAACTAATGCCATGTTTAACAACTTGCCCTTGCAGCATCAGGAAATCAGAGGAAGTTTTCGGATGCGACGATTGAACATCCGACAAAGTAACAGGACATCGTTGTGAGATGTTTCTTTCAGTATAGACATCACGCGTGCTCTGCTAAGGATGCTCCAACGAATGACGTCAGGGCACACCTATCGTGAATTTTTGAAAATTCTCCGTTCAATCACGAGAAACTCGCAGATACACACTACACTGGAGACCAGAAGCCACCCCCCCCCCTTCCTCTTCACCCCGCGCTCCCATGAATTCCCCCCAATGATGATGCTACCGACAATAACCTGTGGGTTAACCTGCGCCGAATGTGAATCTTCAGAAAACCTTGCAACCTCTCACGATCATTCACGAAATGCGTTATAGTTAAACAATGCTGCGTTTCTCAAAATAGTCCCGATCTGTATTGAAAATGCAAGAATTGCTTAACATTTGCTTCAAAAATGCCAACAGATCTTTTATTGCCACTAATGGTTACCATGTTTTCTATACAGATGGTAAAGAAATCAAGAACAACTACAGAGATTATAAAACAAAGTATATACAAATCCAGCGATTTAGTATACCTTATTGACTATCTTTTACGTAACAGTTTTTGTCTTTTTGCTAATAATACGTTCAAACAGACGAAAGGTGTCCCACAAGGTGGTAATTTTAGTCCACTTTTGGCAGATCTAACGCTCTCTGTCATGGAGTATTACTATGCTAAATCCAAAAAGTTTGATAACAGTAAGCTGTTCATTCCATATAGATATATGGACGATTTGCTTGTTGTACATAACCAAACTGACGGTGACGTGGATGAACAACTTTATCAAGTTTATCGAAATACCCTTGAATTGAAAAAACTCATAATAGTGAATTTTCCAGCAATTATTTAGATTTGACAATCAATATTTCTAATGGTAAAGTTAGTACTAAGTTGTATAATAAACATTTCCCTTATCAACAAAGCCTCTGTTATATATACGGAAACGTTGAGGTTAGCAAACACTTGTACGTTCTTCGATGTATTCGTAAGCAAAATAACGGATATGGTCACCACTCTGTCAAAAAATGGCTACGAAGAAGGTTTTATTATTACTAGCATTGTTAAATGTATTTACAAAAATAAATTTATAAGTTACAAATACTCTATTGCAAATAACTATAAAAAGATAAGTAGGCTGGTTAAAAGTATTCTCATTAGCAACGATGTTCAACACTAACTCTCATTTTATCGCTACAATTTTGATTTACCTTGTGGTCAGCTCGACAGTGTCTTTTACTCAACATTCCCTTAGTTTAGTTTTGCATTTTCTTTTACTCAACATTCCCTTAGTTGGTTTAGCCCATCTACTCCATTCCAATTTTCTTCCTCTTACACGTATTTAGTACTCAGAACTTTATAACATTCTCTCATTTTTACTGTACAATTCCTTCTCATTTTTATTGCATGAATTTTACACGTGAGCTTTTTCTACATGTTTTCTCTTTTTGTCCTATTTCTTGCTCCTTCCCCTGTGTAGTCTATGTCCATGTCTTCAACCCTGTCGTACTGACGAGCCTGGGGGGTTGGTAAGACTTCGATGATTCGTCTACGACACCGGGCGAAACGGATCATCTGTGCTGTGGAGTGTATGCATTTCCCCAATGTTTGTTTTTCTTGTTTCTAATTGGCTTCTCATTCAGATTTTTAAGGTACTATACTCAGGGCGTAGCAAGCCCATCAAACTTTGAGGACAGTACAAAAGAAAGGGCGAACTCTGTAGGATGATTTGAGACAGACAAACTGTACACTCACCTCCTTGGATCCCTGGTTCTTGCCATGCCTGGGGAGAATGGTCCGCAGTTGCAGTAGCGTAGCACATCCGTGCTCAAAAATGCACCCGCTCAAGGGTAGTAACAACCGGATGCCGTCCCCAGACGTGATGGTGCACGGCCAGCCACACGCCTAATCATAGCCAAACGCTCCTTTTGTCTGCGCCCTCTCAGTTCTGGTTGCCCCCACCTCTCACTGTGTGCTCGCTGCCGGTTTTTCGCGTCGACGCAGGTTCTGCACATTGAGGATAGCGCGAGTGGAGTCGGGTGACTGCACCCGGGTATCACTACCCTCCAGCCCCGTTCCCTGGCACTTTTGAGCGAAACCAGTGATACGCTGCTGCACCTGCGGACCCTTTCGCCTCACACATGGACCTTTTTTTGCAGCAAAAAGCAACAACAGAGCCACGGTTGAATTCTTTGCTATCTTCATTCGTTGTTAGTGACATAATCACCAGGATGCAAAACATTATACAGCATTTCAAAAAAAAATCAAATTCAGATCAACAAAGATCAAAATCGTGTGTGACAGACTTGCGGGTTTCAAAGTGTGTAGTTGTGCGATTAAACATATATCAAAATGATGTGGAAATGGAACATATACATGAAGACATAATAGTTAATAACAATCATATGCAGATCAATAATCATACTTGCGCCACAGGCACGTCGTCATTCCACCAGATATCAGCACCACGTTCGGCTTTCGGTTCACCATCACCGTTGCCGGGTGCAGCTATTGGTGCTGGCGGTTCGCTGGGCGGTTGGGACGACGCTGCTGTAGCGGAGAGATTCGCTATACCAGCTTCTGTTGATGGTAGTACACCACTGCCCGCCATGTCAGGAAGAACACCGTCATTCTCCACTCTCGTACCGCCCACTTCGGGTAAAGCTCCATCGTAAGGGAGTTGTGCATATTGATTTTGGTGAAATAATGGCGGTCCTAGGCAATGCATATCTGGCTCAGCATACACGGTATGCTTCCGGAACATTTGATATCTGAAAAACAAGTATTTATAAAATTAAAGGCAAGCTCAATGGCAACTCTATCCACCATCCTCTAGCCCAAAAAAATAGATTGTCAATTTTTTTTCTAGCTAATGAGGTTCATGTAAAAGGTATACTAAGACAGTCCCGCGCTTAAAGACACTCCCCGCGATCAAGTGGTCCTCAAAATGACTTCGTGCTTTTTGGAACCCTCTACGCCTTGACGAAGATGATACCACTTTCATCCCTCAATATGGCGCGATAAGGAAGTTATAGCGATTTCCACAAGGCTCGCTAGGCTCGCTCACGGTAGGTGGACGAGGCGTCCGGTCCCGAGCTGCTTCCGTCCCTTTAACGCCCGCGCGGCGCGTGTCGTGCGCGGCCCTTCTGGCACTTTGCCAAAGTTGGTTTATAGCTCTTTAGGCGCAGCGCTTTTTCAGGATGCGTGACGAGACGGCCTTCTAGTAAGCAGGACACTGGACCAGAGGACAATGAAGAAAAAGCACGGAGGGATGAGTATCACGTTCGAAAGTATCCTATTTCGAAAGTCGGGACGCAATTGCGGCTGCCGCATCGATTTCTGGCAGCCACGTCCGGCACACTCGTCCAGGCCCCGCCCCCACTGCTAAAGGGAGGTCTGTGTTCAGGGTGTTCGCGAGGTTTTTTTTTCGATTTTTTTCCACTGGGGGTTACAAATGGGCCACTGCTTCGTGACTGTAACACCAATTACCCGAACACTTGATCGCGGGAATTGTCTTTAAGCAATCCGTAGGCGTCCTCCCTTGTACAATTAGTCCAGACCTCATTTCCTGGAGTTGTCCCACTTCCGCGGCTTCACAGGAACTAATGGAGGCGCTGTGGCTCTCGCAAGGGGCAATTCTGAAGCTCCCTAGTCGCCCCGCCCACCAAGGACCAAGGGCTATTTTCTGTCGCAAGATCAGTTTTAACAGTGTGGTTTTTGGTTTTTTTTCACTGTCATATGGTATTATCATGAGCAATGCAAAAAACGACTGGTGAGAAAGAGGCGACAGGATCTCGCTTTGCTAGCATAAAACGAGCAGTGCCGGAGAAGTTGTCTGGAAAGGCTGCTAGGACCCTTTATAAGGTGTTCTCCATTATTTTTTTTTGCCTTTTTCGTCCACGGAGAGTCATTTAGTGACCATAAGTTTGTAACTGGACGCCACTGTCCACAATACACTGTCGTGGAGTTTGTCTTTAGAGGCAGTTGGCATGATAACTTGGCACTCGGCCTGAAATACTAGCAGGGCTCTATATAGTGGGAAATGGCGAAAAAACGAAGTGAAACGGTTAAAGTCCTACGAAGAAAAAGCCTCCGTTCTTATGACTCGGAAAAGCAATTTTGGACGAGTTTCCCGAAGGCATTGCCATTACCGTTAGGTATGGCTGCAAATGTGTACTCATATATCCATGCAGCACGGCTGCCGCTTCATACCAGTCCTTTCGCTTCATAATTTACTGAGCAAATGAAGCTATGCGAGCGTCAGGAACGGTCGTCCATTGGTGGGCGGGCGACGCGGCGTTTCGGGTCGGCATGTTGTGGCTTCCCTTATAAGGGCACTTCCTTGGAAAAGGCATTATGCAGCGCCTGCTCAGGGTCGCGGAATTCCGTCCTGCCAGGCGCATTAATCCTACTCGTCGTGAGAATTTATCGTGCCAACTGCCTTTAAAGGGAAGGATTAGTATTGCACGTGGTCAGAGAGGGTAGTATCCGGAAAGGGTATTTCATCCTGTTTCTCTAACAGCTCCAACAGATTGCTTGGCACGAAACGATCTGGAGTCCGCGCTACGCGTTTACACTAGACCTGCCTCGTCGCTGCTTGTAACGCGATGGATCATTAGGCGGTTCGGGGCTCTCAGCGGACGTCATATCGGTGATCAGGACGTCAAACTACCTCTATACGAAGTTTTGGCCAAGCCTGATCTTGGAGAAACGATCTTATCAAGCATGCCTTGGAATATGAGTCGCAGCGAAGCAGCCACTAGATTTAGAGAACTCGCCCAAACTTTGGTTAAATGGCCCACCCAATTCTGTACATGAGGTGTTACTTGGACATTTTTCAGCAATTTCTTTCGCTATTTTCTTGCTGCTTTGCACCTACCACAAGATCTAATGGTTCTGAGCCCTACAACCAGCGAAAGGCGATCGCGGGCGCTGTATTTAGACCAGAGCACGGCATCGCGTTGTGATCAGGTCGTCAGGAGTTAACTATCATTTTCAACTATCGGAAATAATTAGTTGTATAGGTCTTTGGCAGTCCTCTCCCAACAATGACCAAATACGACCCCCCCCCGTTGTGATCTTGTGATCATCACATGGCGTGCCCTGCTTTTGACAGTTAATGAGCGCGAGTTAATAAAATTTTTCTAAAACTAATCCATTCACCATTTCAAACAAAACACAACCCATTCAGAGTTATATAACAGTAGCTTCACTGAAAACCAGGAGGAACTGAAAAGAAACGAGCCGCTCAAGAGAAGGACTCACCTATCTGTTTTCTTCCAGAAATAGTAATATTCAACAAGCTCTCCTACTCGTCTATATGGAAGCTGAAATTAACATACTTGAACGAAAATTTTACAAAAGAATGAGTAAAACTTTGGAGATGAAAGAGTAAACTTGAAAGGGACCTCTCCCAAACGATTTGGAACTAAGAAAATATATGGGATAGGGAGAGACATCTTAGGTTCCGCTAGTCTCTCTTCCTAATTAGTTTGAAATTACACGTCTCTCTTCGGTAAGACCTGTACACTATCGCCAAGAGTAAAGGAGCTTGTGCTGTTACACATTCACAAAAATTTACAGGTCCCCACAGGAGGTATCAGCAGTTATCGCGGGTGCCCGTAAAAATGTTCCGACCAGACCGAATACACCCAAAATCTTTCCGCTGTTTCTTAAGTAAGCTTGATTAGCCTAACAAGGAAAGAACAGAACCTGAACCTACGAAAAAAAAATCTGGGGAAGATTCCCAAACTGTGGAAACAACATGTGGTACGTATGTGTGGTATGCAAACTGTGATATTACGGCAATGTGATCTATCTCTCATATTGAAAGCTCGGGCAAACAGCAAATTCACTCACCAGCCTCTTTTGTATGACAGAGAAGTTCTTGCCGTACATCGCAATACCTCTCTCGAACAAATCGCGCTCTGACAGATCCCATTGCAGAGCGCCTTGACGAACTGTTCGGAATGGCTGATTGACTCGGGAAAAGGGAAACGCGGCCTGGAAACAAAAATCCGCATTTCTTGAAAAGATGTCAATCATTGCTTGAATTGTAGTGTTCTAAAAAAATCGTGGTTGGTCCTTACAAGCAGTCACTTCAAAAAAATATTGCAATCAGCAGTCAGCATGAGAATGCATATGGTTAATCCTGAATCAACACTCGCTACTTAGCAGAACATTCCCCTAGCTGGTGACTTGACATAAAGTATTTCTGCCACATTTAATCAATTGAGTCCTGGTGCGAATGCTGAGTGTATCGTACGAGCAAAAAAATGCAAGGAGCGTGCAGTCAACAATGGAGGTACTCAAACTAGACTATGAATATATTCCACGAACAAAAGCACTCTTAATCATCGGTTCTGATGTGCTTCATTTAAAAAATGAAATCTTCGGAGTTGATCAGCCCCGCTTTAGGAGTCTTTCCATTCAGCATCGTTATGGTCTACACAGAGAAAGTTAAATATGAAGTTAGCGGCCCCGAAGGATAGAAAGACCACAGGGGGGGGGGCAATAAAAAAAGACACTTTTCTTCCTTGACTTTCGAGGCGCTATAAGTTACACTTTATTGAATTCTGATCGGACCTTTTTACACCATATTAAAGAGCATATTAAATACTATCATGATACTCCGCCACAGCCTTCTGGACCACCGCCATCGAGAGATTCTGCCACGCAACCATGGTTCGGTGCCTGAGTTCAGCGAGATCGTTGATTTCTCCGCCACTGTAGACCACCCTATTGAACTCCGCCCGAACCAGGATTCAGGTCAGGTGACCCGCTTTGATATTCCATCTTCTTCAGGAACTCAACGCCCTTCCATTCCAAGTAGGCGAGAGTTTTTCCAACGCCCTTCGATTCCATGTGGTGTCACCCAATCCTGTAGCAGTACAAAGTTTCCAAGAAGGTACGGGCGACGACATGTGGGGAGGATATTCTTCTCGAGTTGCTCGATGTAACCGCCAGCGCTCACCTTCAGTCCGGGTCACGAAGAAAATATCGGTCTTTCCATTCACCGCGCCTTGGCGACTGCGGTGAAGATGATGTCCTACTCCGTAGCGACGTTGCCGGAGCTGCCTCGATGTGGGCGTGTCTTTCAGATGCAAGTGCACTGCGTCTCCAGGTCACCCCCCCCCCTTCAATCATTGGGTGGCTTCCACACTAGAGTTTCGCAGCTGTTTGAAGGTGACATGGATTCCAAAGGTCTTTTTCCGGTCAGGCTGCGACTGGTTATAACTTTATATTTTGGCGTACATGAAGGTTATGGGCGAACGCCAGCTCCTGCTTATCAAGGAACATCTTGGGTATCTTCCACCGTATCACTCGTATCCACGTCCTCTGTCTGGGGCTGCGAAAATTTTGCTGATATGTAACTCGGTTGAAGTGTCTTTTTATTGCCCCTCCCCCCACTTGATAGCGTTTTACTATTAGGTATGGGCCTCAATATGGCGTTTTTTCTTCACTCGAAATATCGCACGAAGAAGAGAAGTTTTGTTACTGAGTTTTATACTACTTCGCAGAGAATTTCTTGCCCTACACAATGGCCCTCCTTAGTTTTCTTCAAGTTTCTCTTTCCACTAATATTTAAGTGCTCAAACTGGAGTGTCAGGTCGACGAAATTGAGCATTTTCGACAGCCTCTCTTTTATACCTCTAATTAAAAAGCTAAAACCGCATGGGCCCAGCTGCTAAGTATATGGCTGAAAGGCTATGTCTCTTAGGAATGCTAATAATACTTTAAGTGATTCGAAGATTTCAGTTTCGACCTCACAGACAAGCATCGAACCTAATGCCCTATTCTGTCCAACTGAGAGCTTACGGAATTACCTTATTAACTGAGAATCATGCCAAAGATTGAGGGATCGTTAGAGGTCATAGAATGCTTCTTATCATTACCAACCACCACCCTCAGTTGATGTTAGACGTTCGAAAAAGGGTAGGTTCTGCCGGCGTCCCATCCCAAGAGGGCCCCTCACGCGATGCTCGTTTACAAGGTCCGACTTCCCATCCCAAATTTCCTTTCAATGAAATAAAAATCGACATAAGTCGAGAAATAGTAAGAAGACAACGATACTATCTTATAGTGCGGAAAATTATCTATCAAACGGTATACTGGGAAAAATTGTCATTTTCCGTATAAAAATTTATGTGATAAAAAACACCATTACTTATGGGTCAACCGAATAGTTTACTAGGAGATACTGCACTGGTTCACGAGTGATGCAATTACTCTAACTAACTCGATTTCCATCGACTGCTGTGATTAAATACCTACCTTTGCTTTATCAGTATCGTAATGGTGCCTATACAATGCACAGAGTGCGTCTTCGTCGTCTCTTGTCTAAAGAGAAAAATTTTCAAAAAGCTGAAATTTTTGCTGAAGCGGAAAAAGATGCTGATCAGGAGCGCCTCGCCTCCTAATCACAAGAAAAGAATCATATGAAAAACAAAGCAGAAAGAAACTCACCACAGCAAACCGATTGGAAAATGTTTGACCATGCGCTTCTCTTAATTCAACAATGTCGCCTAGAAACCGATCTATATCGACTTCTGACAACTCATCCGTCGGCATCCACAGCGCCCCACCAGGCACTGGATTTGGTAGCGTAGGTAAATCATTATCATTATCACTCGACGCTAAAGAAGCATCGTCGTTCATGCCCTCAGGAACCGCTGCTTGGTAACGGCCTGCATCAACACGAACCTAAAAGCGAAACACTATAATTTAGATACACAGGAATGTTCGGGATCTAAGTTGATTTTTCTGACTAAATTCATGGTGAAAATAACAAATGTACTTTCTTCTGAGTCTGGCAAGGCTTTCATTCTTGTAAACCTACATCTTTCCTCCAAGGGTCTGGTGGCGCATAGTCTCTATCATCTGAATCGTCGCCTTCGTCGAGCTCATCATACGGAAGATGTAAAAAGTCTCCGCTCTCGCTAGCCTCTACGTCTACCGTTTCACATTCACCATCACCAACGTCTGCGACGACGCCTACATCTGAACCGCTGTCGCACTGGAAAAAAACAATTTTTGCGGTAGATGAGAAAGCACGACAATGAAGAGGCCGGGACGCACTATAGTGATGGAAGGCTTTTGACGATGGTCTAAAAGATCTATGCGCCGTGAACCAATCGATACGAATTTATTTAGGGTTAGAAAGCAGAAAGGTAGGAATCCCAGACCGAAATACTCGAAGGAAGAAGTCTATTCGCTAGGACTTCCAGCGCTTTCTTGACTCAAGGTATCTTTTACAATCAATTTTTTGGTATTTTTCATACTGTACCATATTTGATGCATGTGAGCAGTTATAGAACGAAAATAGTCATACACCACAAACAAAAGATGGACATGGCGATAATAAAGTGACTCTAGTGGATGTGAGGGATGAAATACTCCTTGGAACCAACCTCTGCTTCGGCGCTTTCATCATCCCCAGATAATGAGTAACCATATCGTCGTCTAAGCTCTTCAATATCCATCGAACCTTCATCTTCTAATTCTGTAAAAAAGTTTTGTAATTTTGCAGCTCCGAAGCTACCCTTCAAGGAATGTCTATAAATCACATAAAAAGCGGAAGGTCATTCACCAGTAATATTGAGATCTTGAAGTGGGGTGTTGGCACAGAAGAGTTGAATGAAGCCATAAATACAGTTGCGTTCGCTATGGACGCTGGAGCTTACTAGAGGCTTGGTTTGGCGCAGCGTCAGCCAATTCTCCGGCAACTTTTGGCATGCGACAACAGTTGGTGAGAAATGGTTGAGCCAACCATAGCCCTCTGACACGCCCCAGCATCCGTAGCGAAGAACACACCAACAGGTTTCCGAGAAGAAGGTCTACAAACTATGGAGACAATAAGCAAAAACATAAGCAAGAATTTCAAAACGCTAGTGCTAGATTATGACACCAAAACATTATTACTGGGTAACGACATAATTTCGACGTATAAAGAGACCAAATGATGAGAACCAAACATTCGGAAATTTAGTAAAGCAAAAGATAATAAAAGAATGTTTTTGTGCGGGAATGAGAGATAAGCTGCACCTGAAAATATCCATAAGAGTGCATTCATACTTTGCGACGGCGTTTTGAGCGTTCGCTACCATTTCGAACGTACAAGGCGCTCAAAACGCTGAAGCAAAGTATGAACGCACTCTAAACATCCGGCATTTGTTCCCTCCCTCTCAACTTGTCGATAAAGCTTTATGAATTTAATTGACCGCAATTTTCTACTCCCACGGGAAGCAATTTATCGGTGTTCCACAACAACTGGCTGATTCGGAAGCAATCAAATAAAACTTTAGGCTGATACAATCATACCATTACTAATGAATAATTACCTCGAAGCTCTTCTGCGTAATCTACTCCACCTTCGAGCAGTTCTTCTTCATCTAACGTTCCTGAAATGTCGATCACTTGAAAACAAAGGATTAAAGTAAAATAATACTAAAAAATAACGCCAAAATTATAGGAGTATAGAAATTCATTCTCTGATCATACTAACAAAGAAAGCAATAGATACGATAATTACAGGCTCAAGGAGCAGCGACTACTACAAAATAGTGAAATGCATGGCAACTATTGCGTTTTATGGACCCTTTCAAAGTTTCCTCGAAAAAAAGCTGTCCACTACAAAATCTGAAGTCATAATGATCCATTTGTGGATAAATAAATAACTGCTTTACAAATTTTAATGTTGTACTTTCCATGGAAATGTAATTAATGTAATGGTTGAGCGCTATTTTTAGAAGAAATTCACAAGAAATCAAAGAACCAAGAGACCCATAGAACAGGGCAAAAAGTGGTACGAGTTGTATGCAGCCAAACGGCATCACTTGCAAACGAAAATTTCTTTGAGAATGCGAATTTGGAGTGACGTTACCATGAAAGACCCGTTTCTTAGATAAACAGGCGAAGGTAAGACCTACCCCAAACTGCAGCGAAAAAGTTAATTCACCGAAAGATAAAGCAAAAATCTACGTAATAAGAATAATACTATGGCGGAGTCGTGCGGCCCTAACGGTGGGAATAATAGTGCGGCCTCCTATTTTTGGTTGACCCCAAAATGATTATATGATATATTGCGATAGGAAACTTCCAAATGACGTTGAGCCGGGACACGACTCTTGGAAGTTTCAAAAATAACATTGTGAACAGATTCCGTATTTCAACAAGGTTTAGTTACGGGCGAAGGAAGTGACACCAGGCAGGACTCGACCCAGCACCACATGATTACTGGTTTAGTATGCTAACTGTTCCATTACCAAGACCACCTTCCACCCTCTCAACTTCAAGACAAACTCCGCGATTGCATATTGTGTCGTTCACTTACAAACCTGTAGCTGCTAAGTGACTTTACCGGGGAGAAAAAGGGCAAAAAAATCGGTAGTGTCTCTAACAAGGGAGGTCTTTCAGGTCGTGGCGCGCTTTTTGGAAATGGTTTGTTGCTTGTTGTAGGGGTCCATACAAGGATCACAAAAATGGGTTTCATTTTTGCTATGCGTTTCTGGGTAGGTCAAAAACTGAGTGAAAAGAATTTGACGAGAAATCGCGATTTTAACCGTGTTAATGGGCTCTTGTAGGCGTAACTTTGACAGGCCGCACATTCATGAGTGTCCCTTCACTATGTATTGAAAAGATAGCAAAGTAAAGCCAATAAGAAAGTGGACGGAGGGGAGTAATACCGAAGTTACTTGAACAATTCTCGCAACCGCTGTTTCGTGGTCGGCAGATGGCGGAGTGGATAGTGCGGTGGGCTCTCGCGAAGAAGGTTCTTGGATCGGACTCCATTGGCGACTAACTTTTGGCCATTTTTCGATACTTTATACGTTTTTCGGTTTTGGATTTACGACACCCATTTTTGACCACAGCGCAGCCTAGCGCCGACTTGCTGCAAGAGCATTCTTCCACTGAATTGTTGCCAACCCGCACGCAGGGGCTGTTAAGCGCTCATCTCGAGGAGAAAATTTTTGCTGAAAGTCTGTATATAGAGGTTATTAATGGCCCTGATGACGATTCTGACCTTTAAAATTGGCGTCTAGGTCATTTGGCGCCAACATGGCTCTGAGCAAACGCCCTCCCCCCTCACGCCAGCTGCGGGTTGGGATGCTGCGAGAATCTCTTGAGAAACTACAATGCTGCCTCACTATGTGCCAAATAAAGTACTTTTTTACCTTGAATTGTATTGTTTTCGATGCAGTGTCGACGAAGGTCTCATCTGCTATGCATACTTAACATTATGAATAGAAAAAGCCTCGGAAAAATGGTTCAAAATCGCTTCTCCCCAGCAAACTTTGCACTCAGTTTTTGACCTACCCAGAAACGCATAGCAAAAATGAAACCCATTTTTGTGATCCTTATTCGGACCTCTACAACATGCAACAAATCATTTCCGAAAAGCGCGCCACGACCTGAAAGACCTCCCTTGTAAGTGTAGAAACCCTCTGGTAGCCTTGTTGGGAGAGTTCTCGAGGACCAGCTGTTTTTTGGCCAGCGAGAACGATATATTCGCTTCTCATCACTTTACCGTTTCTTCGGGAGTCGCTCCAATGCTTATATGCCTAACAATGGAAAACAAACGAAAAATCAAAAAGGTAAGCTTGGTGTAACAAGCTGAAGTCGAGCAGAAAATTTCCCTTCAATTTTTGGGTGGCGGACCCACTAGGGGCACTCAGACCTACGCTTTATGAGAGACGGCACCGCCTCGTACTTACTGCGAAGCCGCGACAAAGGGAGTCGAGAAGGCGAGACCACTCAAAGTAGGAAGGACGTAGATGAATTGGTTAAGCGTGGGGACTGCTTCTAAAGCGAATCAATGTCATCACAACTCTACCAGTGTAGCTTAAGTAAGACAAGGGCGCCGCAACTCTGTGAGCTGAAAAACCTCTTAGGAATCGTGCAAAAAATGACTTGAAGTCATACGGGTAGCCATCAGAACACAAATATGAGCTCATTTAAATGCCGAGTTAGTAAAAAAAATATATTTAAGGTCTTACAGAACTAGTCACCGGCGCTATTCAGCTCACAGAGGGGTCTGCTTGTAGTTTCACTCGCATCTTTTGAATTAAGCGCTTTGCCTTGATAAGTACTGTTTATTTTTGTGAAGAGTAGACGAAGCTTGTGCTATTGCATAGCTTCACAAGAATTCACATCTCCCCACAAAAGGCATCGGCAGCGTGTCGTTTGGAATAAGCAAAATGCCCCCCATCAACCCGAACCGCTCACTGAGGCACACCTATTCTTGTCACTGTTAGTCCACAAGAATCGGAAAAGAAGACATGATATTGTGCGATAAAACATTTTCCCCACACTAAGCTGAGGGCAACTGAGGGGAGCTCTCTTGATTTTCTTGTAAGTACTTACATAAAAAAAAGCGCTCCGACAAGCTGTTGAAACTTTCCCCGGCCCAACCAATTCCAAGGCACATTTCTCTGGGCAAGTATCTGGTCCAGCTTAGTACTCTGAGAGTGCTCCACTTGTGCGGATTCGAAGTAGAAACGAAGGCGCTGTGGCTTTTAAAAATGGCAGTTCTGGTGCCTCCCCAGTTGCCCGACCCACCAAAACTCAGCAGCCGTATGTTTTAGTTTATTAGATGGTGAATAGCATTGAGTGCGGCGACAGAAATGAGTGAGGCAGAAGCGGGACATCGCTTTCCTGACACAAAACGAGCAGGTCCGGAAAACTCGTGTAGGGAAGCTGCTAGGAGTCTCTAAGGTCTCACAACTTTTTTGCTTTTTTAATCCCTGGGGAAGCATTTAGCGAGTATAGGTTTGTAAATGAACGCCATCGCTTCAAACCGTATTTCGTTGCAGTTCGGAGGCGAAGTTCGCAGTTCACAAACCTATACTCGTCTTGGAGGGGGCAAAACGGTATTCAGCGAACCTTGCGCAGGCCATCATGAAGGCCTGCAAATCCTCGAACCACAGTGGCTCACTAACTAACTTCGCAGCTTCTCAGGTGTTTACAGATCTCTCCAAAGGGAGACTTGTAAATCAGCATAATCCCGCAAAAAGAACTAACTAAAATAACGCCCTCTCAAAGCCGCAGAGCGCCCTTGCTTCTTGTACGATTACAAAGGAGAACATAAAAAGGTCATTTTAGTTGCTGCACAAGCCTCAACCTACGCGAACTCCCAACCTACAGCTGGAGGAAAAATTTCCCAACTGTTCATTTAAGCGCTCATTTAAGGGAAACTGAGGTGACTGTTTTCTGCAGGTACCCATTCTCCATATAGAATATTCAATTAAAATAACGAATATAACTAAATAATCATAAAGTATACGCCCGAAAATGTGAACAAAAGTAGAAAGAAAACGAACAATAATATGATCCGCAAAGGAAAACGTCAATGAGGACGTACCTTCAAAGTCTTCTCCATTGTCCTCTCCTTCTACGAAATCATCGTCACCGTCATACGAAGAAGCGGTGCGTGAGTGCTCCTCATCGGCCATTAACGACCGAATCCTGAAAAATAAGAAAAAATTATAAGGAAGCTGAAGCAGCACTCCAAAAATAAACAGGTAGAGGGAATAAAAAAGCCAACATTGGGTAAGAGGACATATGTAATAAGCTCAAAATTATTTACAAGACTGTGACAGCCTCCAACTTCAAAAATTAATAATCATGGAGCCATGACAGAACGCTAGATAAGGCTCTTGAATAAGCGATATTTTGTGGGGGCATTCAGGAGACGTTCGGCATTTTCTCTCGTTAAATAGCGACTGCTCTGACGATATTACTCCGGTAAAAATTACTACAAGACTTATTCGTACGATAACATTTCCATTGAAGGGCATTACCTCCGACAACGTGAATTAATAAATAACACTTATGAGCCAAAGGGACTGACAAGGTACTAACCTGACTATCGGGTATTTCCAGTTAAACTATGTCATAACTCGCGGATAAAACTCCTAAGTACCTTCATTGGACATCACTTCTGCTTACCACAATGAAATTCTGAACGAAATCTGCGAAATGGAAATAAACTGTGGCTTTGAAGCCAAAATTTCCCGCCACGAGTTTCCCGAGGAAAAGAAATTAGATTCGCAGAAGTGGACGTCTTATCTCGCTCTTCAGATGAAAAAGAACTGTCAGGGCGATGTATTCCTTCAGAACGGCACGATGACGTCATCTTAAATGAAATGTCACGAGAGCGTCGCGAGCCGAAAGAAAAGCGCACGCGGCGACGGGTGCGGCGGTAGCGGCGGCGCGGAGAGCTTGCCCCGCCCCTTGGAATCGATCGAGCGGCCGTCGCGCGGGGCTCCGATGACGTCTGCGACGTCGTCGTCGTCGTGGGTGGTGGTCTTCAGAATCCGCTGAGCCGATGACCTCATGGATTGCTCAGCTCAGATCGGGCAGATACCTGCGGGTGCTAACGAACTGGGAGGAGGGGATATGCGGCTGCCAGCCGGTTCGTTTCTCCGTCAACATTGTAGAATCCCGTATGTGGTTGACTTATGCGAGGGTTCCTTCAAGGTAACTTCGTAATTTCAGCTGAAGAACATGAAATTCAAAACAGTCATTGGGTGCTATTCCAATAGGTGAGGCACTTAACTATGAAAAGTGCGAAGGAGCAGTT